TTAAATGAGGAAGAAAACTATGTATAGTAAGATCCCAATCTGGTTCTTACAGTGTCGATTAAAGACTGAAAAGAAAACCCAAGGCACCAAGTGTAATCAGTCTATGGAGGCATGATTATAGTTAAATTACAGTCTTTTCTTCCCCCACCAGCATCTATTCCCATGGTCCTCTAGGGCCCCAGACTGACTCTGGAGAACCCCTTCTCCCTCATGCATACATCTTGGTGAGATGATGTTTGACGGTCTTTGCTTCCTGTTGGGGAAGCTAAAAAGGGTCTGTGGTGGTTCCTAGGCCAGATCCCTTGGCTGACTAGTCCAGTATAAATAAGCCAAGGAGCTTGCAGCATCCTAAGAGGAGCTAATGAGATTCCTTAGGTAAACTACACCAGGACAGAAAATGTTAGATTTCATTCAATCCCATGGTGGCACCTGAACTAGGCCATCTGGTTCCTGCCACATCAATGCCGAGAATTAACCAGTTCTCTGGCCTCCGGTCTATCTAGGTGAGAGATCTATCTATCATAGGTGAGAGATTGTCTTACATCCTTCCAATGAATTTTCTTTCTGGGCTAAATTCATTTTTAGTGGTTTCTGTTACTTCTAGCCAAGGAACCCTAAATAGCATATCCCATATACATCTATACTTTCTATTATTCTATCATAATAAAGTAACATGTTTTGCCTTTTATTCAAAATAATTACAGGAAGGAAATCTTTTGGAGAAAGATAAATCTTTTATTCAAAACAATTAGCAAAAGAAAATCATTTATTCAAAATAATTTAAAATAATTAGAGAAATGAAATCTAAAAGTTACTGGTCAGACATCGATGTGACTCTGAGAAACCTGGTTAAAGATGTGGCTGGGTCTTCACTACCCCATGACTGCTCCTGGTCAGTCACCTCCATGTCATCATTCTAGCGTTTCCTTCATATGCAAACAGAAAATGTTGTTCTGTGTTCCTTGTAAGCGTGTGGCTAATGAAAGCCCACCAAAGCAAGACGTGGCTTATGTTGGGAACAAAATGCATTTGTTTAGTCATTTGATACATTCGTGAAATGCTTGCTCCGTGTCATTCAGCGGGTATGTAAGAACGAGTATCACCCAACCTCTGCTGTTTACATGCCTCTCGCTGAGCAGCAAAACAAACATAAACGCAACAAAACTTGCTAAGTTCTATTGCAGAGAAGTGAACAGGTTTCTAAGGACAGGGATGAACTACCAATTTGTAGATTCTAAATGTTAGAAAGGAAATCAGAAAGACCCAGTACTAATGTTTTAGCTAAAAACTATGCTATAGCCAACTGTGAACATGGACTTATTTGTAAAAAGAAAGATCATCGCAATTATGCATGACATACACATAGAAAATTTTCCGAATTTCCTATCTGAAGCGTGCATTACTTCCACAGTTTGGGCAGAAAAAAATACCTTTCAAAGAAAGGCTTTGATATTTCTCATCATAGTCACTATTCCTTACAAATAAAAATTATGCTAATGAAACAAAGAAAAAGAAAGATCATTCCAATGCAAAAGTATGCAAAGCACATTATTATCCATATTAAAGACTGTGATTTCCATTTCTTTTATTTTCTTAGACCTGAATCCAGAGATTTCCATTTCGCTTTAAAATGCCTTTAACAGATTACAGATGAAATTATCATTTGAGTGTTAAATTTCTTTTAAAAAGACTGTAATGGACTTACCATCAAGTTACTTTAATAACATAAAAAAAATTCACCTCCGGTACCTCTTTCTAATCAACTTCTTTAATATTTACTTGAACTTTTCCACATTTCAATCCCCATTCTCTTCAACCCAGCGTACTAAAATATTACTCAGAACTTCCCCTTCAAAGATCCACCCAGATTCTGTCTTTTTACCACACTTTGGATAAGATGAGTAGACTTATTCCAGATGTATCTTTCATCACTTCCTTGTCTATTGCAGGTTTCTTTTTCATGAGACGTGATCTGGTGCTGCCCACACCACTACATTGACAGAGGCAGTGACTCACTGGATCACCACTTCTAGGGAACAGGTTTGCGTTTAGACTGAAGCCCTCTAGAGAAAATAATAGCTCAGCTAAAAAAAGAATAATGATATTTTGGTGGAAATGTTGGGTACTGATACACACAAAAGAAAGACACCCTAGGGCCCTATATTCAGAGAGTCCAACTCAGTAGTTTTGATGTAAGGTCTTAGAAAAATAATTAAATTTATTAAAATATATTTTTTAAAACCATCCTTCTTCCTTAGAAGACACTAATATGGGGGAAGAAGGCTGGATACTTAAGGGATGATTAAACAGAAAAGCACTGCATCTTAGCCTTGGGTAGCCAAATAAACTTGAAGCAAAAATCCAGCTCAACAACAAACGCACACAGTTGTTTGGGGACAGGCCGTACGTGCAGTTGTTTTATATGGTGGCCTCTACTTTCCTTATCTCTCGCCTTCTAGGATCACCTCTAATCCTCACAGAAGCAATTAAAAAATAATAATAACAGATAAGATTTGGCATCGAACAGTCCTGAGTTGATAAGTAGACTCTGCCATTCATTAACAACATGATCGTGGGCAAATTACTAAATGTCTCTGAACGTCCGTCCTCCCTTCTGAAAAATGGAAAAAATGGTTTTTTCCTTGCAGGACTCTGTGAGATTTAAGTGATGTCCCATAAGCATCTCATCTGACACAAAGACGTATAACTCCAAATACACTTGGAGTCATGCTTTTGCTGACAGTAGCAACATCCCCAGTCTCATCCTACCCCCCCGAAATAAGATTTCTTCTTTTCCTTTCCAATCCCTGTAGTAAACAAATAATCAAACATGTCTACAGCCTTTTTGGTAGTATCCTGCAAACCAATTTGTACAAACATGAAAATCCAGAAGATGGTCTTCTGTTTTACAAAGAGCCTCTGCTTACATGAAAACGCAAGAGAATGGACATTTGAATTTACAGGCGTGTGGGCTATATTCTGGTGTTCTTTCTCCTGGGGTGTTTCAGAATAACTGTGCTAAGACACAATTGGATCGTTTGAGCTCAGGGGTTTGAGATCAGCCTGAGCAAGAGTAGCCATCTCTACTAAAAATAAAAAAACTAGCTGGGTTGGTGGTGGGCTCCTGTAGTCCTAGCTACTAGGGAGGCCGAGCCAAGAGGATTGCTTGAGCCCAAGAGTTTGAGGTTGCTGTGATGCCATAGCACTCTAGCCTATGGCAACAGAATGAGTGAGATTCTATCTCAAAAACTAAATAAATAAAATAAAATAAAACAAAACCCAGACTGATTTAAAGGTGCCCATGTGTAGAAACCGAGAGAGTGTATCATATCAAATTTAGTGGCCTGCCAGGAAGAGAAGGGTTGGGTGGGGGAGAAATGCAAAGGGACTCAGGAAATGAGGTCCCTACTCCCAGTTCTTTCCAAACTGCCTTTGTGGCCTTTAGCAAATCACTTCAGCGGTCTAAGAACAGTTTCCCCTCAGAAGGAGGATTAAAATAGGCCACTACATCTGTGCCTACCCATTGTCCCCAGCCCAAGAGGCACTTAAACTGTTACCAAAAAATCTCAACCCTACCCTTCTTCCAAAATCTAACTCCAGTTATGATTTCTCAATTTTGTTTGGTGAAATGATAGGGATATTGTGGTTTTGTAGGAGAAAGTATCGTTCGTTCAGAAATGCACTCTGAAATATTTAGAAATGAAATGTCATATGTCCGCAACTTACTCTCAAATGGTCCCGAAGATTACAGAATATGTATATTACATATTCATACAATGATCCATGTATGCAGGCATTTTTAGAGAGAGGAGATAAAATATACGAAGAGATTACTAAACATTGAATCTCATTGACACGTATATGGGTGTTCATTTTACGATTTTTTCCATTTTCTGGGTATGTTTTACATTTTTCAAAGTCTAATGTTGGAGAGAAAAAATAGCTCCAGTTCTGTCTCCTCCACAGAACCTTTCCTGAATTAGCTGAAACCATTCCTCTGAATTCCCACTGCACTTATGTACTCCGTGTTTATCACTATCTATTTTGTATTACACTTATTTAAGTACTCACATAGTGAGGTCATAAAATTGCTGAGGCACTACTCAGCTATGCGGAGAACATTTGTTCTAAAACTGCTCTTTATTTAGGCTACAACTGCTCTCTTCCTCCTCAAAAGACCTGCTGGATGTGAGAAAAAAATAGAAATAAATTTTAGTGCTATCTCGTAATCTGAGATTGATCCTATAATTTACACAGTCACTTAAGGTTTTTCAGTCACCTCTGGATAAAGGCTAGGCCCTAGATACCTCTACGCCTGTTTTTATCCCCAAAATGGCATCAGGGGCAGGAGTTGAGGGATGTCAGGGGAAAGGGTCCCCAAGATCAATTTACAAAACTGAGCTGAGTATGGGGATGGTTCATACCTGTAATCCTAAGACTCCAGGAGGCCGAGGCAGGTGGATCCCTGCTCAGGAGGTCGAGACCAGCCTGAGTAAAAGCAAGATTCTGTACTAAAAATAGAAAAACTAGCCAGGTGTCATGGTGGGACCTGTAGTCCCAGCTGCACAGGAGGCTGAGGCAGGAGGATGGCTTGAGCCCAAGAGGTTGAGGCTGCTGTGAGCTACAATGACACCAGAGCATTCTACCCAGGGCAACACAGTGAGAGTGTTTAAAAAAAAAGAAAGGAAAAAAAACTCACAAAACTGTTCTCTCAATATATAGACCCTAACTCTATACCTGGCTAAAAGGCATATAAGAGACATCTCAGGGTGACCGGCAGCTGTAAGAGGAAGTCTCATTTCTGTGTCCCCAGAGGGCCTGGACAATGCTATATACCCCAGGGTCTTGGTAGATATAAACATCCGTTGTCTTTCTAGTTTGCTCCTGTTATACCCACAATGTGGCTTCTGCTCCCATCCCTCACTAAATCTTCCAAACTGATAAATAATAATTTGACATTAGTAATAATAAATTGGCTGAGTGCCTAGTATGTGTCCCAAGCTCTTCCCATGTAGTCTTTCATTTAATCCCCACCACAATAAGACCAGTTAGTAGCCCACGTGTCTTACAGCAAGGGCAGCCACTGGACTTTTCCTTTCCTGACCACTGACCTAGCCTTTCTTCCCACTCCCAGCAGCGTTAGACACTGCTGACCGTGCCGTTCCGTACTGGAAACTCCCATTATCTGTGACCTCCCAATTTACTTATCCACCCACAACTCTCCTCCCATCCTGTTGCTTCACGTTCTGTCTCCTATAAATGTTAAGTTTTCTGACACTTACCTTTTAAATCATCTTTTGGCGCTGGGCACAGGAGGCTCACGCCTATAATCCTAGCACTCTGGGAGGTCAAAGCGGGAGGATCCCTCAAACTCAGGGGTTCAGATCAGCCCGAGCAAAAGTCAGATCTTGTTTCTACTAAAAATAGAAAAAATTAGCCAGGGATTTTGGCAGGTGCCTATAATCCCCACTACTCTACTTGGGAGGCAGGTGCCTTGAGCCCAGGAGTTTGAGGTTGCTGTAAGCTGGGCTGATGCCACAGCACTCTAGTCTGGGCAATAGAATGAGATTCTATCTCCAAAAAAAAAAAAAAAAAAAAAACCCAATCACTTTTTGTATTCTCCCCATTCTTCTTTATACCCCTTCAAAGTCCATCCTTTAAGGATAGCAGGCCCAGTCCCTACCCCAGCTGCTCTAGCAAAAAACAATTTCCCCCTTACACCTCCTTTCAAATGTACACGCTATCTGTTTCACCCTTCAACACTTAGCATGTACAACTCTGTGGGGTTCATCTTCCAATCCAGAGATTAATTTACTGTGGATAACAATAATAATAATAATATCAGTAACTTCCATTAATTGACCGTCTCCCCTGTGCCAGACGCTCTTCACACGTCCCTAGTTCTCTCAATGACATTGCCTGAAAGAGGTGATTTTTCTCTTTTTACTAACGAAGCACTTGAGGCTCAGAGATGATAAGTAGCCTGCCCAAGGCCACACCATTAGTAAATGACATTATCAGAATGAGAACCCAGGCTCCAGAGGCTCTGTCCGCAATGCAGAGAGAGCTGTAGACTTCTCCGTTGCTTCACACAGTGAGATAGTAACAGGGAGGGCGGGTAACCGGAGGAAAAGAACATGCTTTAGGAATTAAACAGACCTGCGTTCAATCCTCAGCTGCGCCATTCATCTGGTATGTGACCCTGGGCAAATCCCCACCCTTCTTTGAATCTGATGAGCCTCATTTTGAAATCACCACTACAAAAAATAAATAAATAAAGTCGCTTATCGTGCACGGTTGCTGTGAGGATTAAATGAAATGATAAACACAGTATCTGGAAAAGCCCCAGGTATCCAAGAGGCATTCTATTTGGCCGGTGCGCCCTGTTTTCTTCCTTTGTTGATGCAGATTATTTAAACATTGGCCATCTACCTCTCTGTTGCTGGTATGAATTCCTAAGTTGGATACTAAGAAACAGGCAGAAGGGTCTTTCAAGCACCTGCAAGGATATCAAAGAGGCAGATGCAGGCGCAGAGAGATAAAGCCCTTGTGGTTGAGAGGAGATGGAAAACCAATCTAGAAACCAGGAAATGGCAGGCCGTGTGGTTCCTTTTGTTAGGAAAGCTTTTTCCAAAGCAGAGTCCTTGAAGCTGTGGTGTAACAAAGGCCCTCGAAATGCTTTCCTCTGGTGCTCTCCTATAGCGCCCCTTCTGTGGGAAAGTGTGGGCTTATCAAAATGCTATTGATTTTTTTTTTCAGAAGGAATCTAGAGACCTCCTTCATTGACAAAGCCCTAGGAACAAGCCCCCAAACCCACCCACATTTCTTTTCGGATAAGCCGATCACCCACTCCTGCACAAAACATAGCTAATAAGCTAAAAGTTCATGTGTATTCAATCTTTACTATCCATTTTGATCAGCCGTATACATCTGCCATTTCATTAATCCTTTTTTTAAAAAAGCCCTTTGGGGTGGAGATTATGATGAAAGATTTGGTGCGGTGCCAGTGAGGTAAGTGATGCTCGGGGAGGTTAAATATCTTGCACAAAAGTGTGCAGCTAGACATTTGGGGGACATCGGAGCTGATTCATGCATCTATTCAACCAATATTTATTGAATGCCTACTATGTGCTGGGTCTGTCTGATTCTAAAGCTAATGCTCTTTCCACTATAGAATTCTTCCTAGTAAAATAAATAACGTAACAGCCTTACCTGCCATTTATAATGTTCTTCAGAATGTGAAAGCAGTTTGGCCAGAACATGAGATGCTCATGGCTCAGAAAAGCTCCTTGGGTAAGTTGGCCTGGCCAACTGAGTGTCCCCATGTCTCAACATCACTCCATGTGGGTCTGTCTCAAAGCCGGATGTTTAGAATGGTCCTCTCTGGTCAGAAGTGGTACTCTCAGGCAAGTGTGAGTATCTGTGCTTCATTGCTTATGAAACGTTATAGGGATGATACACTCCAGAACATTTAAGTAGAAATGAGGCAAAGATCAGTGCACACAACTCACTGAAAAAGGAAAACGTCCAGGGTTATTGTAGTGCCTTACCTTTATATAGGGCACAGTCCTTTTCTGTGTACTGTGACATAAATGATGCCATTTCAGCCCCATACCTTTCTGTGAGATGAGGAAGGTCATGGTTATGACACCCACTTCTCACAAGAGGAAACTGAGCTTCAAGTTGTAAAGGTCATCGGTAGTTTCCAAATATCCAAGTTCCCATCACTGTCTAATGGCAGAACAGAGATTTGAATTTAGATCTCTGTTGGTCAGGGTGAGCTAAGTTATATTGCTTTAACAAACAGCTTTCAGATCTTAGGAAGTCACAAAGATAAGCTTGATTTTTTGCTCATGTTCTTTCTCTGCTGTGGCTTTCACCTACTTTGTGTTTACCTAGGACCCAGCTGACGGAGGAGATTCTACATAGAACATCACCAGTCACGTAGTAGAGTAAAAAGCATGACTGATAGACCACAGATGGACTTCTGGGGCTTCTGAGAGGAGGTTTTCACCTTCAGTTCCTTGGTCAGAGAAAGTCTCATGGCTTTGTCCATTACAACACGGCCTGTCCATTGCAACATGGTGGGGGGGTCTTATCCTTCCATAGGGAGCAGCCCCAAATGGGAGTAAAAATGTGTTCCATTTGTATCAGCCTAATGATGTACAAAGGACTTGTCAACCTCCTATTCTTGTACCACGAAGTTATTCTCTAATAAATGTGATACTGATTAAGACAGTTCAGGTATAATCAGTTGAGCAGTCATCTTAAATAATATAAAAATTATTGTAAGATATCATCAAAAAATATCTTTTGATATTTAAAAAGGAACAGTTTTAAATTGTGACCGTTGAACAAGAAACCTTCTGCATTCACAAAGAAAGCTACTTTCACTCTGAGAATAAACTTTCTGTTTCTGGCAAGAGAATTGGATAGCAACCCTGAAGTTCTCCTGTGAATGGGCGTCAGGGTGTCATATTTGAATGTGTAATGAGTAAACATTGGCAGAAACCCCCTTTGCCACATGACTTTAAAACAAACACTAGTCGGTAGGGAACTACCAGCTGCACTGGGTAGAAAGAAACACACTCATATACTCTTCCCATCCATGGGCAAAAAAATCCCCTGCCGGAGATCATCACCTCCCTCAAAAATGTAGGGCACCCATGGGTTCTTGCACGTGTTCAAGCACAAAACCTCACCCCTGGAAAGTCCTCCTGGCAAAGACATTTAAACAAAGTTCAGAGGAAGACAGAAGTAGCACATGAAACAGAGGTCAGGAATTCACAGAATCTTGCCTTCCCTTAAATCAACTGGCAACTTAAAACAAGGTGGTGGGGAGCATTTAGCAGGAGTTCAAAGTAACTAATTTCTAATGTTGGCTGCCTTGTGTCTCTTACAGTCCTAAGATCTTATGATTCTATAAGTTTATGTGTTGTAAAAAAGAAAAACAACTTGGCTCGGAGAAAAAAACCTGTGGCTAAAGTGGTTAAGGCGCCAGCCACATACA